AGACAGGAAATGACCAAAAATAAACCAGCTTCACTACACACATCCAATGTAAGCAAAGAAAACATTACACCAAGTACTTTCCCGTTTCTGGCAGGAAAGAAACCTGCAATGTGTCACTTTACTGTAAAGCTGTCCCAAGGACAGTGAGTAGTAAAAAAATTGATGGGATATAGCAAAGTTTTATGGAATTTCTTTCTTGAATGTGCCTATCATTTTTTCATGGTACTTGTTTCCTGGCATTTAGTTACACACCCATACGCTAAAGGTCACAGACATTGTAACACAAGAATTAGCCACCTTTTTGGCATTATGAAATACTAAAGACTATAAATGGGATTGTTAAAAATGGAAAACCTATGTAATATTTTTAAAAAGCAAATCAGAACTCCAAGGAGGACACACTTTGTGGCCCTCTGACTAGCTTTCCACCTTCGGAAAGAACCAGGCTTATATCTTTCCAGAAAGATGAAATTTAATTATATTTTTAAAGACTTGCAGATAATGTAGTAATACAACTTGTAATATTTAAAACACTTCACTTTGTACTTTCAGATAAAATAGACTGAGCAATTGTGTTTGAAACCTCTCCCTTTTAGACCCCATTAAAGTAACTAAAATGGTATAAACCCAACAAAACAACAACTACAAAGAGGGGGACAAGCTGTAGCAAGAAGTTTCAGCAAATTTCTGGATGCTGGAAAGTGAAAAATGTTGAGTGATGAGGAAACACAAAGGAAACTATAGCTTTGAATATGCCCTGGAAACAACAAAGATAGCAGCCAAACTGCCCAGTAGAGCTTTGAAAAGGAAAGAACAGTAGATATGTTGGAAGATGGGAATGAGAAGTGACACTGAACATGGGGACATTAATTGAAGATCTATAATTGGACTATCTACTTCTCCCACTACCAATAAAACAGTCAGGCAGAGTAGCATTAAAATCAGTGGGAAAAAGAAAGAATACTCAATAAATAACACTAGGGTAACGGGATATTCCTGTAGGAGAAAAACAACAAAATCAGATTTCAACCTCAAACTTAAAAATCATATGTCTGAGATTTTGCTGCCTGTGAATTCCTCTAGTATTTTTATGGTTTCCCGTCTCATGTTTAAGTCCTTTATCCATTTTCAGTTTATTTTTGTGTATGGTGTAAGTTGGTGCCGAAGCAATTACTTAACCAATACAGCTCCTAGGGCAATGGAAACTAAAGAGAAAATAAACAAATGGGACGACATCAAAATAAAAAGCTTTTGCACAGCAAAAGAAACCAACAAAACAACAAGAAAGCCCACTGCATGGGAGAACATATTTGCCAATGTTATCACCGATAAGGGTTTAATCTCCAACATTTACAGGGAACTCATACAACTTAACAAAAGGAAGATAAACAACCCAATCAAAAAATGGGCACAGGACCTAAATAGACACTTTTTGAAAGAAGACAGAAGAAAGGCCAAAAGACATATGAAAACATGCTCAAAGTCACTAATCATCCGAGAGATGCAAATCAAAACGACAATGTGGTACCATCTCACACCTGTCAGAATGGCTATCATCAACAAATCAACAAACTACTAGTATATTTTATTCCTCAAAAATCTAGTCTAGACCATATGGCCCATCATTTCTTTCTTTTGTCATTGTACTTAAAATTTTTATTCCTCATCTTTGATCCTATATCTCCTTATTTTTAAAAAATATATATTTTATTGACTTTTTACAGAGAGGAAGGGAGAGGGATAGAGAGTTAGTAACATCGATGAGAGAGAAACACTGATCAGCTGCCTCCTGCACACCCCCTACTGGGGATGTGCCCGCAACCAAGGTACATGCCCCTGACTGGAATCGAACCTGGGACCCTTCAGTCCGCAGGCCAATGCTCTATCCACTGAGCTAAACCGGTTAGGGCTCTCCTTATTTTTTTTTTTATCAGATATTTAACTTCTCTACTGTGATACCTAGCTATTATGGGTTCCTGGAATACACACTTAACAATTCAGACTACAGTTGCTATAATTTCATGGTCTGTAAACTCACTTAGTTACTCATAATTTGCCTTCAACCTTTCAACACTTCCCCAGTTAGCTCCCTCTGAATACCAAACAAGACCTGGCAAAATGAAGAGATATACCATGATTTTTAAAGTGATGATTTATTATCCTAAGAATGTCAATCCTTCTGAAATGAATAACTTAAATGAGATTAAGCACATTTGAATAAGATTCTAACGTTTCTATTTAGATTAAATAATTTTATAGTTCATATGCCAGAAAAAGTGTGTGAGAATTAAAATGTTGAATAGTGAAAGCAGATTTCCCAGATATTAAAACTTCCTACAAAACTACTATAGTTGCCCAGTCAGTACGGCGCAGTGGTCGAATGTCAACCTATGAACCAGGAGGTCACAGTTCGATTTGCTGTCAGGGCATATGCCCGAGTTGCCACTTGATTCCTGGTGTGGGGTGAACAGGAGGCAGCCAATCAGTGATTCTCTCTCATCATTGATGTTTCTATCTCTCTCCCTCCCTCTCCCTTCCTCTCTGAAATCAATAAAAAATATTTTTTAAAAAATTACTTTAATCAAAACAGTCTGGTATTGGCATTAAAACATATTAAATAGATTGTGAAATGGAACAGAAAGTCCAGAAGTATATCCATATATTTATGGGACCTTAATATAAGATGAAAATGGCATTCTCATTAAAAAATAGGAATAATAATCAAGGAATGCTATTATTAGCATATTGACTTGTCAACTGAAATAAAATCAAGTTAGACTCTTACCTAACACCATATTAAAATAAATTTGATGTATTATAGGACTAACTTTTAAAACCTTATTAAAGTTTTAGAATAAAATTTGCAAGATTATTTGGATAAACTTAGAACTAGGAAACCTTAAGGAAGACAGGAAAAATATTTTTTAAAAAAAGAGAAATTATGCAGTATTTCATAAATCTAAAGTTTTAACTTTATAAAGTATTATAGTTCTAAACAAGTAAAATAATATTTTGACATGTTTAAATGATATTAGAATGATATGTTTGTTATATAAATTATCACTTAATTAGAATTTCTATTCTTTTTTTTAATCCTCACCTGAGGATATTTGCCATTGCTTTTTTAGAGAGAGTAAGGGAAAGAGTGGAGAGAGAAACATCGATCAGTTGCCTCCTATACATGCTTTGATGGGGGATTGAAAATGCAACATAGGTATGTGGCCTGACCAGGAATCGAACCTGCAACCTTTCGGTGTATGGGATGGCACTCCAACCAGCTGAGCCACCTGGCCAGGGAATAGAATTTCTATTTTTTATGGCCTGATTTTTTTAATCAAAAGAGCTGAAAAGCTATACATGGGAATACCTAAGAGAACTGAAGAAAATACATTGATCAACATATAATAATCCTATAACTAAAAATTTATGTTTGTCTAAATATATATCAGACTCTTTAACGTCAGAAAACTTCCAAAATATTATTCTAATGCCTCTTAAATTACTTTCTTTATTATATTATTTATTTTATAAAAAGCTTAAAGAATAGGAGCTAAAAACTTGACATAAAAAAACTACATTATATTTGGTTTGAATATGTGCTTCATCACCTGAAAAAAATTGAAATTCCATCCGATTTTTAGGCTTTATTTTAAAATTTTATACATACATATTTTAAATTATAAATAAACTATAAAGATATATATGCTTTATGTCTCTCTCACTTACTTGATTCCAATGTGCTTGCTTAAGAGGAAGAGAAATGTGCAAAGTCTAGATAGTGTATTCAGATTTGCTCATAAACCAGGAGATATGAATTATATGACATGTGTCATTGGAGAAAAGAGGTTTTGAGCCACAGGAATAGAGAGATACCGTGGGGCCTTGACTTACGAGTGTCCCGACTAACCAGTTTTTTGAGATACCAGCTGTCTCTCAGCCGATTTTTTGCATTGAGTTGATAGAGTAATTTGAGTTAACGAGCTCCTTAACGAGCTCGGTCTCAGAACAAATTAAACTCGTAAGTCAAGGCCCCACTGTATTATAAAACAAAACTGGAGTAATTATTCAGATTTTATGCTGAATTGCTTAATACTACTAGTTAAGGAGTAAGGTTTTGCGCTGGCTGATGGGGATACCATATAGGTCAAGAGCATCAGGATTCTTTTCCTCTTGAAACTTATATTCTAGTGCAGTGGTTCTCAACCTTCCTAATGCCACCACCCTTTAATACAGTTCCTCATGTTGTGGTGACCCCCAACCATAAAATTATTTTCGTTGCTACTTCATAACTGTAATTTTGCTACTGTAAACAATATGTAATTATATATGTGTTTTCCGATGGTCTTAGGCGACCTCTGTGAAAGGGTCGTTTGACCCCCAAAGGGGTTGTGACCCACAGGTTGAGAACCGCTGTTCTAGTGGGAAAAGCAGATCTGAAACAATTATCCACTACTCATTTAATTATGGTTATGGTAAGTGCTAAGAAGGCAAAGTGCAGAGTACTGAGAGATAATAGGGGTATCTGATCTAGGGTATTTGGGGGGAAGTAGTTGGGGAAGGCTTTCCAGGGGATATGAAGTCTAAATTTAAGACCTCCAGGCTGAGTTGGAGTTAAAGCTAGGATAGGGTGGGGGAAGTCAGGCAGGGAAATGGTGTCAGGGGAGAAGACAACTGTTTGCAGGAGAAAGGCTGGAAGTAACTGAACTGAAAGTCACTGAGGCTGCAGTAGGAGACAGGATAAAATAGGTGAGGCAGGTAGGGGGTCTCATAGGCTAAATTAAGTAACCTACATTTTTTCCTATGACAAATAAAAAACCACTGAAAGTGTTTTGTTTTTAACTAGTGGTCAGTTGTTTTTTCAATAATTCCATCTTAACTTTTAAATGTAAACTTCTAAGTTCAGTGGTTTTCTTATGAAAACTATTGTTAAATGGCTTCCCATTTCTGCTTCAAATTCATGTCTTCAAAGACTGGTATCTGGAAAGAATACCATTGCATACCCTGTTTCCTCTGGAAATGCAGAGGTGGTGCTCCCATCCATCTGACAGGGGTCCAGAGAAGGAGAGTCAGAATTTTTTCTATCTTGATTTGCAGCAATATTGGTTACTCGATGTTGCAAGTCCCACTGTCGTGCTATGTTGTTAATTGTTAACCTTTTCTTCTCCTGTGAAAAAGTTTATTGTAACAAGTTCATAAAGCAATTTTTGCAGTAGGGGAATATCCAAAGTGCATACTGTTTGTACTACTTATCACACTTTTAAAGGGACTCTATTCCTTAAAAGTAGCTATCAAATTTGTATTTTTTAAAATATATTTGTGTTGACTTCATAGAGGAAAGAAGAGGGAGAGAGAAAGAGAAACATCATTGATGAAAGAGAATCATTGATCAGCTGCCTCCTACATGGCTCCTACTGGGGATCGAGCCTGCAACCAGGAATTGAACCGTGACCTCCCAGAGCATAGGTCAATGCTCAATCAGTGAGCCACACCAGCCGGTTAAATTATTATTCTAAAACAAAGTACAACTGGCCTTTATTTACCTTGTGCATTTAAACACCTTAATAATTGTCTATCATCCTTAAAGAAAAAGAAACATATACAAACAATAATTACTCCTATTGAAGATATAAAAATTTCACTACCTGAAAGTTTAACAGAAATTTATATACTTAAGTGTTATCTGAAATTTTAATTTAACAGAAATTTACATACTTTTGTGTTTAAACACAAAAAGAAAAACTGAATAGTATTTTAATTTTCCTGCCCAGGAATTAGGACTAACATGATGAAATAACCTCGGTGGGAGGAGAAAAGCAAGGAATTGATTAATGCTCCAAGCTTCACAGTATAAATTACAATGTCTGAAAATTAATAATTATGTACAAACTACTAAAAGAAATGGTACTAAGTTGGAATATTTCTAGGTAACTAGTGCCTTCCTAGATGAAGATTAAATAATTTAATTCATTATATGCAATGGATACCTTAGGGGAGTGATTCTGAAACGTTAGAGGGCCTTAAGTCACGGAGAGCTTATTAAAACATTAATTGCTAGCTCAAACCCCATTCTGATTTAGTGAGTTTCAGGTGGGGTTCTTGAATTTGCTAATGAACTTCACTTTGAGAACCACTGATTAGGGCTCTATTCTCTCACAGAAACCTGTCGAAAAATTAGTTCTGGACTACTGAAACTGCCATGTTGAAATGTTTCTAGTAACTTATATAAATGTATTGGGGAAAATAATCACTAATCTATTCTGTTCTATACTATAAAAAGTTAACATTATTATATGGCATATTAATTAGACCAGAAGCTGAAAACAGACACTTTCCCTTCCCTTTAGGAGGTTTTTGCCCATTTGCTCAGGGCATGTGTACGTGTAGAATAATTACTTTTAGTTCCACCTCTGTGCCTATATTTGGTTATCTTTCGCATGTAGAAATGGCACTGAATATGAATAAAAAGCGATGACAAAGGTAATTAAAACTAAATTTTTTAAAAGTCTATTTCTAATTTTAGCATTTTTTTCTATTGCTTGATATTTCAGATATACTTCTGAGACTTTTTGACATTTTATGTATGTCCTCCTTATCTAAAGTAGGAATCTACTATTCAACTGTAAATTTTTCCCCCAAATCTACACTAATAAAAGAGAAACATGGTAATTAGCGAACGACCACTACCCTTCCCATTGGCTAATCAGCATATCCTATGCAAATTAACTGTCAGCCAGGCAGCTTGAAGCGGAACATAAGGCTTGCTTGCTTCAGTGAAGGAGGAAGCCAAGGTTCCCCGCCTGCTGCCGCCTGGCTCTGAGCTCCTGAAGCAACAGCTCCAAAATATACAATGTTTCAATTATAGAAGCTAAAAATGGCGGTTAATTTGCATATACCAGTTGGGAGGGAAGACTGAGGACAACATGGAGGCCAAGAGGTACAGAAGGGAGCTAAGTAGAGGCCTCGAGGATAGAAACAGACCAAAGGCTACAGAGGTGGGAGGTGGGAGGTGGGAGGGCAAGCCCAGCCACAGCGGCTGCGAGGAGGGGGAGTGGCTCGGAGGGGAATGGGCAGCGCCTGGGAGTGGGAGGGGAATGGGGAGAGCCCGGGAGTGGGAGGGGAAACCCGCCACAGCGCCCGGGAGCGGGAGGGGAAACCCGCCACAGCGCCCGGGAGCTGAGGGGAAACCCGCCACAGAGCCCGGGAGCTGAGGGGAAACCCGCCACAGAGCCTGGGAGCTGAGGGGAAACCCGTCACAGCACCCGGGAGCTGAGGGGAAACCCGTCACAGCACCCGGGAGCTGAGGGGAAACCCCCCACAGCGCCCGGGAGCTGAGGGGAAACCAGCCAGAGGCGCCTGGGAGCTGAGGGGAAACCCGCCATGGCGCCTGGGAG